GCATGGTCTTCCTAGGTGGTATCTCATCCAAGTACTAACCAGATCCGACCGTACTTAGCTTCAGAGATGAGACAGGATCGGGCTTGTTTAGGGTAGCATGGCCGTAGACAATATAGAAGATTTTTAAAAGATATTTTGTAGTTTGTATAACCTGTGGAAAATATTTGCCATGTTGTCAGACCTTTTAATACGTAGACTAATAATACACAAAATATTTTTAAATTGTTATCATCTTACTTTTCGTAGTCTAACATATTCTAAATGTCCCTTTTGTGCTTTTTATCATTCTTGTCCATATTGCTTAGGAGTCATATTCAGTGTTTTAATCTTAACCCTTTTTATAACTCAACTAGTATTCAAAATTAAAAATATATATACACATATGTATACACACAATAACATCCAATAAATCAATCATATACAATAATTAAAGAGTAATTTTCTTTGTTTTCAGAAGTTTACCTATTCTTTGTTTTCAGAAGTTTGCCTAATTCTTACCTTTTTTGTAACATGAATTTGAAAGATAGCAAACAATATTTTCAATGATATTTACCTCTTGGTCATGAGATAAAAGTCAATGTTTATTTTTATTGATACACTTTTATGTAGTTTTAAAATTTCCTATAGTGAACATACATTACTATTAAAGTACAAATATTTATTCATAATGTTAGGTAGCCAGTCAGACATGAGCGACAGGGGAACAAACAGGGACACAGCCTAGAGACCATCCAAAGAACACCCTATTGGTAGGACTGGATGGCCATAAGCTATGGCTTATTTAATCTGGCCACAGATGACTGCATCCTAATACTTCATGAGCCAATCACCTAGGAATCCCTTTGGAACCACTTATCAGGTCCCAAATATAAGCAGACCTTCCCACTTCTGCCTTGTTACAGCTCTCTTTGCTGAAAACCTGCTCCTTACTTGAGGCATACTCTGTCTTATCTCTTTACCTCCCAAATTCCACAGGGCTGCAGCCTACCTTAGCATGGACCATCTCCATCTAAACTGTACTTTTAATAAAACTTACTTTTTCTAAATCTCACCGACCTATAGTTCTTTGCTACATTGGTGGGGAAGAACAGAGGGACAACACACAACACCACTGTCCTCTTCCTCCCCCATGCCACTGGGGCAAGTGAATTTCACATCACCCCAGTGGTAACAAGTAAACTGAAAAATTTTGTTGCAGAGTTTCAAAGCATTTTGCACAATTGTACTTAGGGAAAGCCTAATGCCTGATCATTAGACAAGAAAAAATATGTGCTGAATTGAGTGTCATCGTTTTTGGTCTATGAAGAAAAATAATTGATAACATTTTGACTACTTAAAGTAATAAAAAATGGCACCAACTGTTACCACTTGCCACAGAAAACATAACTTTTTCGTTTGCTCTTTGCCACACTGAAGAATAACACTGAATGAATCTACATGTATAAATCAAAAACAGTCTGATATATGATACTCTCTTCTCATCATTATTTTTTTTCTGCCACATAGAGGAGCTAAGACATTAAAGTTACTAAAATATAAAGGCAATTATTTTTACTTAGTTTAAAATGTTAATTATATCAATGTTCCATTTTCTTAGAGAATATAAAAAATAAAATGTAAATACCCAACAGAACAGAAACATTTTGAGATTCACTTTTTTTCATTCAACTTAATTCTCTTGAGATCCACCGAGTTGTTGTATGTATCAAGAATTCATTCATTTTTATTGCTGAGTAATATTCCTAGTACAGATATTTGTTTAATCAGTCACTCACCAACCAGTAAGAGCATGGGAAATCAGGACAGACAAAGGATAGAAATCAACAGTACAGTGTCAGGTGGAGCCCCAGCCTCAGCCTGATTCCTAAGGAAGCTAACATTACACCTTAGAGTTTACCCCAGCTCCAAGCAAAGGGACCAGGTCTTTGTATTTCCACACCAGCCATTGGCTAAAGAATGTGGGAGAAACAAAAACTCCCAGGTGCTTCCAGCTTTTAGTGATGGCAACATGACCTCATTGCCCAGGGAGAGTCCTCTGAAGGTCCTGAGTGTGAGCCATTACCAGCAAAGCATGCGGAAGCTAGTGGATGGGCCTCAGCGCTAGTAAAATGGATCCAAGGAGAGCTGAGTAGGCACCAACAGTACCCACAAAATTCTAGTGTCTTCCCTAATCATTAAATAAAGGAATGGCAATCCCTCATACTTATAAAACACTTTGCATTTTACAGAGGGTTTTTTATTTCATCTCATTGTAATTGACCTTCAGAACAATTTTGTAATGAGAAAAGAGAAGTATTATTCTTACTTTTCAAGAGTCGAATAAAGCAGAGATTAAGTGACTTTTCTGACCTCTTCATATTCTAAGCCTGGAATTTATTCTCGCATGCTGCATCATATTTGAGTTTTATAAATATTTTATGTAGACATATGGAAAGCATGTAAATATGAATTATTTAATCTAAGAATCATGATGACTTTTATTAAAAATTCAGGAAATATTATAAAGAATAATCTACTTGTTTGTTTGAAAACTATTTCCATTTAGGTCATCTAACGTTACATAGAAAAATTGAGTTAAGTGGCAAGTTCCTTATTAGTTATATATACAGATTCATTCCCACCATTATTCAAGGCTTCTCTCTGTGTTTTATTACTCAGATGGTTTAATTAAAGCCAATGCGAAAGAAATATATTAAAAGGTTCCTGGAGCACAGCAAGAGGTTGATTCATTTAGAATGTTCTTGGAGTTTTTCCATAATATTCCCATATGGTCCTATTTACATATAATACTTACGACTCATGACATTTCTGCCAAAGTATGACTATTCTTCCCATAAATATTTCCAGTAACTCTTACAGTCTGTTATTGACATATCAGACACTTCCTTCTTCTAGTTCAAGAATCACTTACTAATAAAGAGCCTACCTTTGCCTCCCTGTTCCTGTCAGCGCTAGACCACCCACTCATGTGGAATCTCTCAATGATAAATTCAAAGATACTGAGGATGAGAATTTACCCCATGGATTTACTCAGAACTGAATAGTTCCAATTGTGTTAACCCCTCTTTTGTCACTTGAACTCTTTATCCTTTATGATCTAAAACAGTGCTTTTCAAACCTGGTGGCACATTTAAGATCACCTTTGGAGCTTGAAAATACACAGATGCCCTGGCATTGCCCCAGACCAATTAAATCAGACTCCTAGGCACTGGTCTAAGTTTGAAACTCCTATGCGATTCTATCATAGAGCAGTCAAGATTGAATACACTGATCTGAAACAGAAGAAATGTGACGGTTCTATTGGTGTCAGAATAGATTTGGCTATCTCCCACATTTTAGCTTCAGGTTTTCAATTCCTCTTAAGCTAAGAATTTCTCTATTGAGTTGGGTCTTTTTGCAGGCCTAGTCAACCAACTTGAGTCATACTGAGCAAACCAAGTGCCTATGATATTGTATCTAGGCCCTAGTAGCAGCGAGCGATTTGATATAGTTTGAACATATTAGGAAAAAGAACTATTGTAGCTTATAGAATCTGAGAAGTAAAACTTTTTTTTTTTTTTTTTGGCGTTAATGCTTTTGAGCTTCATTTTCTCTCCACCATGAGCTCATCAGAACAGAGATCATCAGTAACCTCCTGTATTTTCAGCTCATCTTTTGTATCTTCCTTCCACTATCTTCTTGATCTGTTACTATTTTCTAACTCTGTTCCTTAGACTTTAGTACAAAGAATCACCTGTGATGCTTTTAGAAATAGATTTTCTAGCCCTACCCTTAAAGATGCTGATTTATTTGACCATGGAGTCTGCATTATTATAATTTAACCTGCTCCTTGTGTAAGTTCTCATGCAGTTAATACAGAGAGCTTATTTTGAAAAGCAAGACTCTAATTTCTTTCATTTTTATTGTTATTTTTTTCAAGAATGAAAGGAATAAAATGCGATTTGAAAAGATACCATGACATTACTGGTTTTTTTTTTTGTTCTCTTCCATTCTATGAGCTAATACAGAAAAAAAACTGTATTTAATCATTTGGTGTAAAGTGTACACACACATATCTATAAATATAAAAAGTGATTAATTAATTATGACTCATTTTGGTATAATTAGTAGTATGTGACAAAAGTCTTTGGAAAATTAAATACACTTAATGAATTTAATAATTTTCTATTTGTATAGAAATATTTTATGGAATAAAATACTCATATTTCAACTCTAATTCGTCTTGAACATTTTACGATATTGGACTTCTGTTTAGGAGGAATGTCTCTCCAGGATAGAGATTTTACTACAATATGTTAATTATTATGATTTATTTGTTATTTTTTTATTTTTTATTTTTTGGTTGAGGATAGGTCACATTTTAACTAAAACCTTCAGGGATATTTGAAAAATTAGTAAAAAATATAGGTCATGTATGTTTTATTTTTAATGTAGCTTAGCTTACAGCTTTGGTGGATGGTATGTATTGGATATTTTTTAAAGTTTATCTTTTAAAGTTTTATGTGCTAATGAGTGTTATAATTGGAAAATAGAAAAATGTTGGTTATAAATTATATTAAACCATATTAATATCTTAAATATACCATTGAAATTTAAGTAAAGTAGCGAAAGCATTTATATGCTTTAAATTTACAGATAACATTTAAAAAATTTTAAATATGTTTTAAATATTAAAATTTAAGGTCAACTTTATTCTTTTGAGCCCAATGATAAAACGTTTTTCTTTTCAGTTAGAGTTTTCTTTCCAGTAAAAATTTGCAAGTAAAATATTTAGGAAAATGTGTTTTTAAAAAATCTTTGATTAATAATTGTATGCGATTGAATAATATGTGGACATTTTTATATAACCTAAAATAATATAAATTAATAACCTCTATTTAATTAGGATTCAGATTTGTATTACCGACATCATTCTGTTATGTGGTGTTATACTTCAAAATGATATAATGATATATGATGTAGTAAAGCCTACATTGTGTCTCACAAATGACCATTTTCAGTTTCTTGGCAGTACGGAAGTGGAGCAGCCCAAAGGAACAGAAGTTGTGAGGGATGCTGTAAGGAAACTAAAGGTAG